GAATAAAAACTTCGGTCTTCATATTCAATGAAACATGTATAAAAGAAGGATTGCTGCCTATATATATTTTACAATGGAATAAAAAACTTTGTGTTTGTTACAATCAAGGAAAGATGTATAAAAGAAGGATTGCTGCTGAAATATATATATATATATATATATATATATAGGAAATGGATTAAATCTGACACATTGTGATTTTTAACTTATGCATCATACATATTAGAGCTATTTTGTGTTTGTTTGATTTTAAATCAGTACACCAAAACTAGTAAGTTATTTTATTTTTATGTACATTCATAAAAATTTAATTCTAACCCGAGGAAGCCAGAGAGAGCAGACACTCTCAGCAAAATGCATCATTTATTTTTTTTATTTATTTTCTACTTTGTCTCATCATCATCTTTTATATATATATATATATATATATATATATATATATGTATGCATGTCAAATTTCAGATAAAACTAAAAATATATTTGCAAAAGGGACAATATGAATGAAGAAAAAAAGAAAACTTATCTTAGTTAACAAGTTTCATCCTCTCATGGACTTTATCAAGGCAAAATATATATTTATGAGAGTTCTTAAATTTCAACATTTTAAAAAATCTAACATTTTTACTTTCGTTTATAAATACTTGTTGCAAAATGAAATCGTTATATTTGGCTTGATAATGTCCCTCAGAGGACGAAACACATTGGCTAAGGTAAGTTTGTCCTATATATATATATATATATATATATATATATATATATATATATATATATATATATATATATGTGGGTGTGTGTGTGTGTGTATATATGGTGGAGTAATGGATAGCAGTTCAGATTTTAAAATTGGCATGCTAAGTTCAAATTCCAGCCAAGTTTGTTACATTCACTTGGGATAGGTACTAATCCATCTCTTCCTCCCCAACTATGCGTAAATAGCAGGACAGACTAAGTCCTAAAGTCTTGGGTGGTAACTGGTGTAGGAGAAGGACAATTCTGAATTCCAAACCTGGGGTGGGTCGTTTGGACACCTTGTGGCACATGATGTGCACGAGTTCTCTGGATTCAGCGCTCCCAAAATGTGTGGTTGTTTTTGCACAAATATTCACCACTATAATCAAATCATATGTGTGGGTAAACTGGCTGTTCAGTTCTAACGGCTAAGTTGCTGTACTCTCATACATTGAAGATGATGGGAGAATACACATACACACTCAGAGGTGTGTGGTAAAGTTCTAAGCATTCAAAAAATTCTAATGTTTGGTCAGATTTTGGAAAGTTGGTTGACATTTTTTTTTACGTTAAGGTTCACCCAGTACAATGCCCAAGGGCCACTCAAAGTAGAGGGTTACAGTAAGAGGCAGTTTATATGGATAGGAGGGGAGGATAACAAATAACCATAGACTTGAACAGGTTAAGATTGTAGTGATCTGGTGTCTGTTCCACAGATCAGTGGTTCATGGGAAGAAGTTGTTCGTGTGGAACTCACTTCTCACCAATGTAATGCAGAGGGAATGTATGTGGTTTGCTACAATGTAAGTAGCATGGTGGGTCCTAGTCATGAAGGTTAGAATTGGTGGGACAATGGAATGTAGTTCATTCAAGTACTTTCTATGGCAGTAGTGTTAAATAATAGTTTCAGGCTATTATTTTTTAGTGGCACTATATTTTGGCTCAGACCTTCTAAGGCCGACCTTTAAGGTCAGATGGTAGACAAAACAGGGATATTGATTTTGATTGGCCGAGCCAAATGTGGGAATGAGTTATAGATCAAGGTTTTATGAAGAGTTGCTGCTTGGACATCAAGCTAACTAGACATGGTGGATTTTCTTTGTGCAAATCCCCTTCCCTCAGTGGGGAAAGGTGTTTCAAGAGTTGGTTGTTACATGTTAAATGAAATGGATGTGTGAGATTCCATGTTTGAAGGCAGTTCCCTAATAGGCGAGGGGGGTAGTAAGCCCTACTTGATAGACGATGTACCTGTTGACGTGGTTAATAAAATAATAGTTAAGTTCTCTTTGTTGATGCTTTTTGTCTTTGAACCCAAAGAACATTTCAGGACTGACCAAGAGAAGAAGAAGATTGAACTAAAATGACCAGCAATCATCGACTAGACAAGATGAGACCAACCAACAACACCCTCCCCCAAATGGAGGGTATACAACAGTAGTAATAGAACAGTGAGAGGCTTGGGGAGTGGAAAATAATTTGTTAGCCACACTGACTCAGAAATGCTTTTGAACTCTACTGGAAAGAAAAGACAGGGCAGATCATGCCCAAATATGACAACAGTACTCCATTTTTGACTTGATATGCTTTTATAAAGGTAGGGGAACTGAAAGCTTTTCAGCACCCTCTCATATGTATTCCCTAAAAGCAAAGATAAAATAGATTTCACTTATTCTTGGTAAGTTTCTAATGAAGAAATACCGTGAAAAGTGGACAGTATTTTTGTGTGGTTTGAATCATCCACTGAAATAGCTTTGAAAAAGATTTTATATATATATTATTGTTTTTTTTCTTATATTGATATATTTTTGTGATAATAAGAGAAATTGTAGCTTTCTACTGTAAAGTTGCAAGTATTGATATTTTATTTTAAAATTCCATTTAAGAAAATAGACCACACTTTCCTGATGCGAAACAAAAATTGTTTTACATTAAAACGTTCCCTTAGGCCCACCAAAATAGATGCCTACCAAATTTGAAGGCTGTACATGAAATAGTTGTTATATATCCCAAGAAAGATTCAATTTATTCATGTGTCTATATATATATATATATATATATATATGTGTGTGTGTGTGTGTGTGCACACACACAGTTGTGCTACTGTTGAGGAAAAATATGTATATTTATTATTGATATGAATTTTAGCTCTGTTAGTATATATTAAGCACTAAAACCAGCATTCACAATGTACGACTTTATATATACACATGTTTGTACGAATTTATATCCCTGCATCTATAGAGATATATATGTGAGAATATATATATATATATTTATATATATATATGTGTGTGTGTGTGTGTGTGTGTGTGTATATATATATATATATATATATATATATATGTATGCATGTGTATAATAAAATACTTGCATGTACTATTTAGATGAAAGATTTGTATGTATGCAAATGCTTATATATATATATATATGTATGTATGAATGAATGTGCATATATGTGTGTGTATGCATGCATGTGAATATATATATATATATATATATATATCACATAAAATACTTCTATGTACTTACTATTTAGATGAAAGATTTGTGTATGCTTATATATATATATATATATATATATATGTGTGTGTGTATGTGTGTTTGCATACATTCCTATATACCAGTATTCACCAGATCATAGACCGAGAAAAGGTTACACACATTAATTCCTATATATATATATATATATTATACACACACACTCTTTCAACATTCTTTCAGTCACAAATACATATTGAAAAACACATCTATGCATCCTCAAACATATTTTTAGCTCTTGTCAAGGTAAACTTCATTCCCAGAATGCCTCAGTGTAATTGCTGACAAAATTTCCATCTGATGGAAGGAAGATGATCTTGAGAAATTTGACTCTTTGCCGCTTTCGTCTCTTTTACATGGAAGCAGCCATTTGCAAAGTTAGACGAGTCAGGGAAGATTAAATAACAACACTGCTGACAAGAAACAGATCTTTTTTTTCTTAATTTATTGAGAAAAACTGAGGAGAAGGGCGATATTCCTAACCTGACATATGCTTTTTAGGCTTCAAGAGAATATTTTTCAGCATTTGGTATCCTACAAATGAAAGACTCAGGTAAAAAGACAATGTCTACAATTTAACAGGCTTCCTGACTTTGAGAGGATATGAAATTAATTGTTATATTAACTTCAAACTGCAGTGAGACAATCCTAAGAAAAATAGAAAACCTACCAAGATTTATTATCAGTGACCAAATACATATATATATATATATATATATATATATATATATATAAGGGAGTAGTTGTTCCAGTGAGAGAAAAGTGTATATTTTAAATATATATATGATGAAATGGACTAAGTTCGACAATTATTTTAATATATTTTCTGTTTATACCTTATTGTTATAGATAGAAATATTTAAGTAAATGCTCTGTTTGTAATAAATAGTATTAATGACATTTACTAGCCTGAATGTCTGAGAAATTTCATAGAAAATATGTGTCCTTCGACAGGAATTGAACCTGTATCCTACATGGAACTGTCATTTGTACTGACATGATATACTATTTATCTCTAGAGGAAGCATCTGGTTTACAAACAATAATTTGACGTTGCTAACCAGATGCTTCCTTTGTAGCTAAATAGTATAGCACGTCAGGCCAAATGATGGTTCCATGTTGGATACAGGTTAAATTCCTGTCAAAGGTCACACATTTTCTATTAAATTTCTTGGAATTTCAGGCTGGTAAATGTCATTAATACTGTATATTATAAACAGAGCATTATATTTGTATCTATAAAAATAATGTATAAACAGAAAATATATTAATATATATATCCAAATGAAGAGAAAGAACAAACATTTAAAATCCACAGCATTTAGTTTTTAGAAAGTGCTCAATACAATGCAGAGTATAATATTTTTATTAAAAAATATATATATATATATATATATATATATATATATATATATATATATATATAGAGAGAGAGAGAGAGAGAGAGAGAGAGATTAATTTTTATTTTCTATTGCATATCAACCCTTTGCAGGTTATTTAAAGCCAGAAACTAATTTTTAGATAGTAAAATTTTTGGGGGGGGGATAATAATGGTTTAGTGATACAAGTCTTTCTAATGAACCAATAGCTGGTGGAATAAGAGATGGGTTCATGCCTTCCCCAAGTGTATTTGCACATAAGTGAATATAACAAAACCAACAATGAGAATTGGAACTCAGCTCTTCAATTAACAATTCTGAACTATTATCCATTACACCAGCCACACATCCAAGCTTACAGCACCTAGTAATCTCAAGTGGTCACCCATCTAAGTACTGATCATGCCCAACATTGCTTAACTTCAGTAATTGTATGGGAACTGGTATTTTTGGCAGTAAGCCTCTCTCTCTCTCTCTCTATATATATATATATATATAAAGAAATATACTCTTAAGGTGTGCTATAACAAGTCTTCTAATTCAGTACATCTCAGAATTTGATTCTTTTCAATAGCATTGTACAGCAGGTTCTAAGATCTTTTACATATATATATATATATATATATATATATAGTTATATTTATCGGTTAAAAAGCTCAATATCAACCAAGGCTAGACAGCCTAGTCTGCCCAGCTATTTTACTCATGGTTGTTGCAAAAAATGGATTCGTGCTGTTCTCAAGATATTAGTATTAAGTGAATGTCTCAGTTGGAATTTGAACCCTAATTACTAATTCCATTTACCACACTGTTAACCATCAAGCCACATGCACTTCTTTTTTTATTTGCCTTTCTGCTTTTGATGGATTATTTTTGTTCTTGAAACATTTTCCAGCAATACAACACAATCCCAGTTTGATTTATAAAGGGCACACACAACTATATATATATATATATATAATTTTAAGGTATGCTATATTTATGGGAGAAAGTGCTCAATATCAGAGATAGAGCATGTGTAAAAATAAAAGTGAACATTGAAGTCAACACTTAGAGGTGACAGGCTGTTTCATGCTAGATGCATTCGTCAGGCCACGAGTGTTGTTTTTTTTTCCTTGGCTATTTATATATACAGGTCAGTGGTTCATTGTGGGTAGTCTATTTTGGTGGTTATTTTACCACCATATATATATATATTATATATATATGGAGAGTAATAAATAATATTAAATATTTACTTATCTTTTCCTATTATGAGTTTTATGGAGATTACATTCCCTCTTCAGAAGTCTTGATTGTAAAAATGAAGTCATTATCAGAATTTAAGATATAAGCTTATTTCAAATTGTTTTAACTTTAAATACATTTTTGGTCAAAAATAATCTTTATATATATATAAATAATTGATAATTGCTGACCACTTGTATTCGAGGATACCCATCTACTAGGGTGGTTAGCCAATCCCTATTGCAGATGCTTGCTCAGGCACATTTGTGTTTGCTCAACACCCACAGAGCCCACCTTTGGTTTATACTGCAACAATAGTGAGCAGACCTTAGTTACAGTTTCTGGGAGAGAGTGTATTATCTCGCGTGATTACCAATTTGAACAAGGCCAGCACACTCAATCCCTTGGACATGATAACTTGTGGCTTTGTGCTAGCACAGCTATTGATGGACCCCAAGAGTTCCATCTACCCAAATTCACTCACAAGGCTTTTGTCCACTTGTGGTATGGTTTTCAGACACTTTCTAAAGGTACCGCACACTTGGATCAACCTCAATCCAGTATGATAACATCAGGGACGTCACATCCTGACAAATCGACCATGGTGAGGTTCAAACCTGGGTCTCATGGTCAGAAAGTGAAAGTCCTAATCACTCAGCCATACGCCCTTGTTTATATATATATATATATATATATATATATATATATATATATAAAAGAAATATAGTTTTAAGGTGTGCTATATTTATGGGATAAAAGTGCTTAATATCCTAGATATAGCGTATGTAAATATGAATATAAAAGTGAACATTGCAGTCAACACTCAGAGGTGACAGGCAGTTTTATGGTAGGCCCAATCATCAGGCTGCCTGATGATTGTGCTTAGTATGAAATAGTCTGTCACCTCTGAGTGTTGACTCCAATGTTCCTATATATATATATATATATATATATATATATATATATATATATATATATACAGACAAACCTCTCATCTAATGGACAAAATCTGAAGGCAAAATAAAAAAAACAAAAAAACTTCAAAATCATCAGCAATATATTTAGCAGAACAAGTTGAATTAGTTCTCAAAGTGACCACTTGGTGGCGGTGGTTGTGGCAGGCCTTTCAATTGTAAACAAACACAGAATGTATGATACATTAGTGCATGCATGAGAAAGTAGCTTTGAGAAATCTATTATTTTTGTTATTTTGCTTAATATATCTATATTAAGTATATATCTTTAATTAGGCCATATATACATTTTTATAGTATTTACATTATGATCATAACTACTGGTAGTTACTATAATGGCTTTATAACTAAAAACTAATCCCTTCCCATCTACAGACAATTGGCTTTAACTCTTTCCCTCCTATTAGTCTGCTGATGAGAGGTTTGTCATATATATATATATATATCAATTTCTACAAGTCATGATTTAATAATTCATGTGGCTTAATATATATATGTAAGTATTCTATGTTGTACAAGAGTGAATCAATAAATCTTGAGGTTGTCATTAGCTGGATTTTGCTCTGAAATTTTCACTGTATAGTGTTCAATCTATATCATTAATACACATTACTGAATTAAGTGCATTGACAAGGAAGGAGATTATATTGAAAGATAAATATATGTTGTATAAAATAACTTCTTTTTCCTCATTAGGCTATAGATTTATTTATTCACCTATATATGAGATTAATATTCACCAATGTATTAAGTGCATTGACAAGGAAGGAGGTTATGTTGAAATATACATATCTGTTTTGTAAAATAAATGCTTTTTTCCTTATCAGACTGCAGACTGATATGCATACATATAAGATTAATATTCGTCAATGAATTAAGTGCATTGACAAGGAAATAATAGAATTATTGATGTATATTTGTGTGCATGATTATACGAGTATAATTTTCTGAATTTATTGGCCAAAAACATAAATCATTCTTTTATCTACTATCCACTGACCTATATTTACTATCAAAACAAAAAGTAATACAGTCTCCATTTGTAGCTTTTAATCAAACTTATATATCTATATATGGAAACTTGTGCCTTTTGGTAGAAATCCCTCTTTAATACATGTTTCATTGAAGAAGACTGACAAGGGATATTTTTTTATTTTTTTTTAATCTGTTTTTCCTTTATATGTACATTTGTCTTCTGGACTTAATGAATGTCAAAAATGTCCAAAAATTGCCTTTATTTCCAAATACTGGCTGCATTTGGGAATTGGGAATATCTATCCAACTTCAGCAACTTTTATACCATCTGCAACAATACTATAATAAATAGTGTATAACATAAATAATCCTTGAAGATGGATAACTATTTAGCTGAAAGTGCTTGGTGCCCATACACTTTTGGACAATTTTTGCATTTGTTAAGTCCAGAAAAGAAGACATCTGTATGTATAAAAGAAAAAAAATAATAAAAATAGTAAACATAGGTACCTTACCAGTCAAGTTCAATGAAACATGTATGCATGCATATATATGTATGTATCCTAACCAACTCAGATTGAGGAATCTGATAGCTGAGTTCAAATTCCAGTTGAGTTTATTACATTCACTAATGTGCAAATACCATTGGGAAAGGCATGAATCCAGCTCTTCACAGCCCAGTTATGGGCCAATTGGTCAAGGAGGACAACTTCAGATCAAAACCTTCAACTATGGGTAAAATAGACTCACTTATTGAATATGACTACAAGCTGGAAGACATTGTCAATCAGGAAGTAGTTCCTCCAAAGATGAGAAGGCTAGATCTATTCTAATGTTCTTTCATCCTTGATAATCTAATCAGTGATACAATGCTGACATTAGGTCCCCAAAAAATATATATATATATATATATATATATATATATATATATATACAATTCTATAAGTATAGGATTGGTGTTTTAGTATTTTAATATAATAAAAATCATTCTACCTAATTGAAAAAAATGAATATTTTTGTAGTGATTTTATAACATATTTATGTTATAATTTTCAAATAAATTATATTTGCTCTACTCTGTATTGAGCACTCTTTTAACAATAGTATTTTTTAGTTACTCTATTTTAATCTAATACAAACATTAAGGAATTAATTATTATAACCAAGGTTTGTTGTCAAGTTTTTTGAATTCTCGTATACTTGTATTTTGATTGGTCATTGCAGCTTATGTAACAACGTTTCCCCTAGCGAGGAGTGTTTGGTTGATTTGAACCTTTTAAAACTCTTTATTCTGCATTCAACACCATCACTTGATATGACATCAGAAGTGTTGAAACAAAATGGCTGTTTTTGCAGTGATTTTATAACATATTTCTGTTTTGAATAAATTATATATATATATATATATATATATATATATATATTTATTTCAGTTCTTATATGACAATTGTGTTGTGAGCATCTGAGTGTTAGTCTGATTGTTGGTTAGGCTGTGTGTGTGTATATATATATATATATATATATTACGATAAACGTGCAATCAATTTACAAATACATGAATTATTCACACAAAAACTAATGCAAAGGTTAATGATTTAAATGGCGAGACATCCATCATCGCAAACAATTCAAATAATATACAAAAACCTCCGTATCCATTATGAATGAAATGATTCTTGTTTATATAAATTTCTGCCGTATTAGTTCTTATTTTTACTACAAGCTTTCATATTTTATATGAACGCACAACCTTTAAAAATTTAAAAATTTAAAATCAAACTCAGCGTTGCTTCTGCGCGCTCCAAAAACAATAACTCATTTTCAATAGCATTTCGGATACAACAATACATATATTTTCGTTGTCCTCTTATTACTAAGAGAAAAAACAAGAACAGCATCTATTCTATACCTGAAGAAGTCTGTAGGAACAGACGAAAGCTTGTAGTAAAAATAAGAACTAATACGGCAGAAATTTATATAAACAAGGATCATTTCATTCATAATGGATACGGAGGTTTTTGTATATTATTTGAATTGTTTGCGATGATGGATGTCTCGCCTTTTAAATCATTAACCTTTGCATTAGTTTTTGTGTGAATAATTCATGTATATATATATATATGTTCTCTACAATGGTCATACAAGCACTTTGCTCAGTTTTTGCTGTCTTCAGACTACCTGTGTATATTCATTCTGACAGAAGGGTTTCATTTATGTCTGAACACATACAGTGATTCTTACAAGAGCAAGGAGTAGCTGTAAGTTAAAGAACCT